GCCACTCGGGCCAACCACGGCCCAACTCTGCTGGTCCGAAGGAGCCGCATCCCGCGCGGCAGGCACCAGCGGTCCAGGACCGGCGGACGACACCCCGGCAGTCCCCGCCCGGAACGGGGACGTCGCTTGCTCGCATACCTCCGGCCGCACCACCAGAGATGGAGATGCGGCTCGCTCCACCCCGCTCACAAGGGTCGGGGGGTGAGCAGACTGGCCTGCATAAGCCCCGAAATCCTAGCTTTTATTTGTTCCCTCATGCCTTTCGAGACTCTGCGTTCCACTTCTCATTCCTTTTTCTCTCGATCCCATTTCCTCTTTTCCTCCTTCCATTCGCGTCCTCTCGACTCCCAACACGACAGGGCCGCCTCCAATTCCCTCTCCCTGGCCTCATCCTCCTCCAACAAGTCGTTCCTTTCCAGAATGGCGGCCTCCAAGTACGATGTCCGGTACTTAAATGCCAACGCCATTCCTTCACCGAGCTCAAGCATTTCACTCTTCCTCTTCCGGATGAACTCTTTCTCGGCGTTCGACATCCTTTTGCTCTTCGTGAAGGCGTCCTCGATCTCGTTCACACACTCACCGAGCGCCTCCAGGCTCGCGGCGAAGAACGTGACGTTCATCCCTTTCTTCCCAGGATCAGGCATCCCTTCACGCTGCTTCCATTCCTGCTGTCCCTCCTCCTCACGGCTCACCCCGGGTTCCTCTCCCTCTTTCTTTCCTACCCTCCTTCTCTTCGCGACGATGACGACCCTCTCTTTTCCGTCCGTACTTCCATCCACGGTAGCAGCTTCGGAGTGCGGGCCCGTAGGCAACCCGCACGCCAGCCCGTCGCCGGATGACGACGACACAGGGAGCCGGGACGCTATTCCCCGTGCCGCCGGGCCCTGGGGCTCCGAAACCCCTGGGCCGGTAAGTTTGCTTCCGGTTGTCGAGATTGTGATCCATCCTTGAGTGAGCACTTTACCATCCCTCACTCACGGGCGGGTTGTATTTCGGGGTTTTCCTTCCCCTAGGTCGGCTGCTAAAGAGCTAACGAGCCCGACCTACCCGTGCGCAAACTGTCAGGCCCTGCCCCGGAATAAGTCCGGGCGGCCCTGACAGCCGCACTCCCCCCAAATCCCCCTCCCCGTCGGCCCCGTCCGGCATGGGTGACCCTACCTGCGTGGCCCGACGGATCTTTGGGGGCCGACTTCCGAGCAACTCCCCGGAAGTCACCCATTTCCCCTCCCCGGCGCGTACCACGGAAAGAATTCCCGAGGCCGTTTGCCGGAAAAGGGGAAAACCCCATTATGAGACCCGGGACCCCCCCATACCAGGAGGCACGCCCCGAAGGACGTCCTCCCCAGACACAGGGCGAACCCGAGCCTCATATCCCCCCAATTGGTGCACTCTTAGACCCCAGGCTCTTCCCGCGGCCCTCCCAAGAGTTGGACTCTTGGTACTGCCCTGCGGGTCGAGCCCAGGGAGCCCACTCACCACGTCAAGGTGGTGCACCCCGAGGGGGTCTGTCAGGCGACACAAACAACCAAAACCAACGGCGTCGACACGTATTGTTTGATCTGTATATTGTAATTATAGTCAGCTTAGTAGTTAAATATATTATACATTATTTTTTTTTTTTGAAAAAACTGTTTCTCAATTATTCCGGTTATCACGAACCCGAACCGACGAGCGATCCGAGCACGCGACGAATCGCGGTTACATTTTTACTAATAATTGACATAAATTTGTTCAATGTTTGGTCAAAATGACGTCAAATTAATATCATTTTGATTTTTATGTTCTACTTGGAAAGCTATAATGCAACAGAGGTCGTACTGAAATTCAATAAAAAATTAAACGTGAAAATCTATTGTACATACATAGCAGATATACAGTGAACGTCTACGATAAATGTTATATGGATGTCCATCATCGATGAATTATGGACGTCCATTAGAGATCTACTTGTCGTCCACCGTGGAGATAGATGTCTGGTGGAGCTATGTATAATCTATGAAGATCTAATGAAGGTTTTGTTCTGTGTGGGATATGACTTTATGTATTTAACAATAAAAAATAAAATAAACAATAAAAAAATGTTTACTATAAAAAATGAAATACATCTGCTAGAAACCAAGTTAACCAACGTCAAAAGTTCATCGACGTATTCAGTGTGGCGATTCAATCCCGGTTCAGGGTAAAAATGTGTAACGGGGTTTCCGATATTTGCCTCGTACTTTTCCTGCGGTTTATCGCTTGGGTAAGCTCGACGGCGTCCAGGATCGTGATAGGACAGAGAGATGTCAGTAATGTGCTCGATTGTGTTAAATTATAACGAGAGTTTATTGTTTTGGCGTACAGTGGGTGAGGCTTTTATACTGCGCCCGAGGCGCGTGCGATCGGTGTTGCCAGTGCGACTCGGAATGGTGGGCGGTCGCAGTGGCGGCAGGCCGCGATTCGGGCTCTGGGCCGCGTCGTCCCACGGGTTGACTTTCGCTATCCCCGGCGCTCGCTCGAGGCGCCGAAATCCGACACGTCGTCGTCTGGAACGGTGTGTCGTGGAGTCACGGTCGAAGCCCGACACGCTCTCCTCTGAGTTCGATCGGCGGCCGAAACCCGGCACGTCGTCGTCTGGAACTGTGTGTCGTGGAGTCACGGTCGAAGCCCGATACGCTCTCCTCTGAGTTTGATCGACGGCCGAAACCAGGCACGTCGTCGTCTGGAACGGTGTGTCGAACCCTGCACGTCGTCGTCTGGAACGGTGTGCCTCGAGAGACTGAGTTCGCGGTGTCACGCTCCCGTGCTGGTCTCCTAGGAAACCGGCGGTGAACTCGTGTCGAGGGTTCCGCGAGCCCCCCTTTTATAGAGGCGGCCGCGGAAATTTAACTGCGAGTGCTGCTTCAACCTCGCGTTCGCGCCGCGTAGCGGCGACCGGGATAACTACTGGGCTCCCGGCATACTAGTCGTATAACGGGTGTCGGGTATCGTAAATAAGCACAGCGGGTGAACGCAACATAAATCTATTTTAGCTACCGACAACGGTCGAGAATACAACGGTGGAGTAATACGAAGGAAATAGTAACTAGAGCGGTTGAACACAATTATGAATCCTTAGGAACGAGGTAAAAATGCCTCGTTACAAATGCAATATGACGCTCTCATCTTAGATTTTTTGAAATTTTAAAAATTTGTGTATTTAAATGCGTAGAATTGATTTTTGAAAACGAAAATTGTCGCTCATGTATCGTTTTTTTTTAATTAAAAGTGGAATGATATTGGTAAGTAAGAAAGTGATAAAATTGATAAATTTGATTGACGAAATTAGCACGAACGCGTCTAACTTCAATTATATTATATCGTCAGACTGCAATTGTATCGAGTTGCGTGTCATAACCTGATGTAATATAATGAAAAATAAAATTACACGAAACGATAGACGGAGTTTAATAAAATTTTTAGTCGAACTAGACGTTACACACGTGATAATTTAAAACATGAACTATATGATAATATTATATTTCAATGGGATATTGAAAATCAAGAGTTCAAGTGTTAAAAATTGTATTACATAACCGACTGGAAAAAAGAAGACAAAAAGAATTCGGTGTACTTTTCGATAAAGTGCAAGAAAAATGCTTGGTTTGACAAAAGTAACTTATCTGTTGAAAAAGCTTGTATGTCTGCGGCTTATTTTATAATGTTGAGATCGCCGCGTTATGATTTTTTAAAGAACGAGTTAAAAATATCTGATCGTACCAACGTTGTTTGGCATTGCTTTTTTCGCGAGGTAACAATATAAAAATTATCATGTCTCAATGTCACAAGCATTTGTAATCATACTCAAAACACAAAGTATCATTAAGTATGCGTCATTAATTGGATAGAAAATTATTCTGAAAAAATTGGAGATGAAAAAGGTGAATTGTTGAAATTGATCAAGCAAAAATTGGCAAAAAAAAAAATACAAAATGGAGAATGATTGACTCATCGACGGAATATCAAAATTTCGGTGGTTATCCCGGAGCGGGATACTTTTTTTTTTTTTTTTTATAACCCAGGGGAAATGCGTTACGCATCCCCCGGAGGCTTACCCGAGCCTCCGGGGGTATGTGGGACTCCCTCCCCATAGTAAAAAAAAAAGGGGAGGTATACCCACTAAAACCCCTGGGAATGTCCATCATTATTCGAGGGAGCGCCATTATTCGAGGACCCCCCGGTACACTTTCTAGTATTCTTCAGCGGGCCCTCGGCTCTTTCGCGCTTGCGCGCTTCTTCCCGCGCCGGCCTAGTAGACCGGCGCTTTTATATTCCTTTTCGGCTGCGAGAAGGGGACACCTTCCTCCTCGCAGCCCCTTTCTCCGAGTCAAGAAGTTGGGATGGGCCAGGAGCCAGAATTACCCACCCGCTCCCGACCCCCTCCTCTGTCCCCAACCTTCGGGGGAGTCAGGTCCGCCGACCACTTTCTCCCCCGAGGGGGGAGCCCACTAGAGCCGCCCTTTGCAATGGGCGTCCCCGGCAGGCGCACTAACCGCGCCCGCCCTCGTGTCCGAGCTAAAGCCGGGGCACGATATTAGGGTCTTTCGGCCCTCCTCATAGCCGGACGGAACCGCCCCCGAGAGTGGGGGAGTGGTTATCCCTCAACCTCCCGGAGGCGAACATCGCCCGGCTCACCCTCATCTAACCCCGCCAGCTCCCCCCCTAACGGAGTAGTGGGAGCTGGTGGGCCCTCAATCGCCTACCCCTCCTTGGCCTCAGTACCTGAGAAGGGGATACTTCTTCCTCCTCCTCCCCCGCCCGTCCTCCACCAACGGGGCAGGGGAAGAGGGGGGAGAGGAGGGTGGTGCGACTCCCACCTCTCCCCTCCTCACGCGTTCGGCGGCCTCCTTCTGCGACATAACGTCACGACAGAAGGAGGCCACAGCCTCCCATGCTTCCCGGCTCTCGAGCATCTTTGGTACGATGATCGGGAGCTGGCGATCCTGGCCGATCACTGTAGTGAGGACCCCGCGTTCCTGAGTTCACGCTGGGCACTCCTGCAGCGTGTGCTCCGCGGAGTACTCACTAGCCGCGCAGTGGTGGCACTGTGCCTTGCGCTCTTTGCCTATTCGACACAGGTATCGACCGAAGCAGCCGTGCTCGGTCAATACCTGTGTCATATGGTATGACAACCCCGCCATGAGCCCTGCCCACCCATTCCGGCAGGCAAGGACGTATGGCCGCGATGGTCCGGATTCCCGGCGTGTTCGGGGCCTCCAGCGATCTTTGCCATCGCCGGAGGGCCCTACGCCGGGCCGAGTCGCGTATTCTCTGTACGTGCCTGGTCGTGACCAGATGGTCACCCACTCGCCGGCGGAGCTCTGCGATCCTGTTGTACGTTTCTGCGTACAACCGCGCGGGAGTGGTGCACTTGGACACAGCCAATCACAGCACCGTGTGATTAGAGACATTTGTAGGGTCCCTTGGAACAGCCACTTTTGATTGGACTGTGTCCAATTGCCCCGTGTCCAACTGATATACACCCCAACCGTGCCAGGAACTCCGCCGGTATTATACCGGCCAGGACCGTGACGGCTACATGCGACACCGTCCTATACGCCTTGACGAGGCGGGTGGCCATTAGTCGCTGCGCACCGTGCAAAATTGCAACGATGCGCCGCTTGGCCCACGCCTCTCCCGCCCAAACTGGCGCCCCATAAAGAGCGATGGACGAGACGGTGTTCGCATACAGCCTGCGAACCCGGTTGTAAGGACCACCGATTTTGGGGAGGAGGCTGCACAGTGCAGCCGCAACTCTCCCCAACTTGGGACTCAGCCTCTCAAAATGAGAGGTGAAGTCCCACTGGCCATCCAGGTGGAGCCCCAAGTATTTGATACCTGGGGTCACCTCCACGCGGGTTGACTCTACCATAATGCTGGACCTTGGGGGCACCCCCGCTGACCGATCGTACACTCGGTCTTTTGGGGTCACCCGGAGGCCCAGCTGCCGTATCGAGTGCACGGCACACGCTACGGCCGTGTTGGCAGTGGCCGTACCCTCCTCCCACTTGATGCCTCCCGCCAGCACCATAGTGTCGTCTGCGTAGCAGACCATGGTGCAGGCGGGAAGGAGGGCCGTTCGTAAAACGCGATCGTACGCGAGGTTCCAAAGTAAAGGTCCAAGTACCGACCCCTGTGGAACCCCGCAGTACATTACCCGTCCGCATTGGAGTCCAACAGCGTTGCTGAACTCCAGTTACCCCGGAGCGGGATATTGAACTGGACGCGTGTTTTATATTCTTCCCGTACCCGCGAGAAACAGAGACACGCATACATTAGTTAGTGTTATAGAAGAATGGATCTTTCAATTTTTTAAATTTGTTAAAAAAGTTTTAACAAGTAACAGTAGAATCTGCACAATTGACATGTGTAAGAAAGATATTGTAACGTCCCAGCCTTAAAAATCTTTAAATTTTACGCCACTGCGATGCTCGAATGCCGCACTGATCCGAGGCCGATTTGTAATAACCTGAGAGCTAATATACAAAATATTTTATTCCGGCAACGAACCTTACTAATTCAATCGTCAGAGACGGCTAAAATTAAAATCTAGCATATTAATAGTGTTAATGATTAAAAAAAAAAGGAAATAATTAACAGAAACCATACATTAGCGAACGAATATATATATAAATATACATCGCCATTATTATCTTTTACGAATTAATGTATCATAGTTATTATACGACTCTATAGTATAAGAATATTCGCGAAGCGAACTTGCTTAGGCACGAGCAAACGCGTTCAGTATGACATCATCGCGCTGCTATGCATCACGCCACCGCGCATAACGTCATCCGACCACCCGAGCACATCAAAAGATAAGCCGAGGCGTAGAGGCATCCCATTGAAATTTACCGACCCGAGACCACCATGCCACCATGGAATTCGGCTCTGTGAGCCGACCGCCGTCGGAAGCCGCCGGAACCGAGCGTAGCTCCCTCCGAAGCCTTATAAAAACAGTGCTCCCGGAGCACTCCACGCATTTTGTTCGGGAAATTTTCGAATCTTACACATACGTATAATACATTCAACTATCCGGAAGGAATTTCAATTCATAAAACCAACGAGCTTTCCTTCGCCAGTTAGAATAAGGCATCTCTCCCGAGATTCTTCACGACCGACCTGTGTGCGATCTGCTGCGTCAATTTAAGCGTGCCCAGGCGAGTTCACCTACGACTAGCGGATCCCTACGATAAAGCGACCGTAAGTCTACTACTAATTCCACTTTTATTACGGAACACTTGACCGGTAGGAACCGAGCGATCACCTATCGATAACCCACTATTTTTTATTCAACTCTACAACTTCGATATTAATACCATTTGATGTATCTAGTATAGTTATAAGAATTTTACATTTCTACTCGTTTGGATACCTTAATCGTACTCGCTCTTACAATATATCATTAAACTATTACGTCATCCTTTTCTCTTTAAGAGCAATTCGCATCTTACTTATCCAGCTATTCCTCGCATAAATTCTCTGGCCTCGACGTATCACTGACAAGCGCGTCAGTTATATACCCATTACACACACTCTTGCAGAGCAGCGGTGTCATCCGTGACACCATAACACTGCTAATGCTCTAGGTAGCATTAACCGCTCCTAGTTGCATCTTCTTGCTTTCTTAAGACAGAGCTCTGACAGTTCTCGGTAGCATCCCACGATCGCTTCGGAACTTAGTTTACATACAGCGAATTGTGAAGTAGCGCGTGAGGATCTCCTGGCTAGCGAGTCGGTTGAAATCCGATCGAGACTTCAACAGGTCCATTGCGTGCGGGATCTTACTTGTTAAGGCTTGAGAGATCAGAGATTATACCATTGCTTTACACCAATACCTATTTTATTTAATTGCTCTTACTGAGTTTTGCTATCGAGATCACGTTACAACAACACGAAATTTATTTTGTTAATAAATTAGATGCCGAAGAGAAGTGGTAGAAAGAGCGACTGCGAAAGTGGTTCTCACGTACTACAAAACGAAGTGTACCGCAGCTCCCGGCTCTCCAAATCCCACAGAAAGAGGGTATTTTGTTATAAATTCGGGAAGTTATTACATACAGGTTCGCGCGTCATTGAGACCACTTCCACCGAGGCTCATTACGATAACCTTACCCTCTATTAAAGAGGAACCAGAATACACTGAATTGTTGCCAAAAGATCAAGAGGTTCCAAATTCGAATTTAAATTTATATAAAGAATTAACTAGTAGTGAGCAAGCCGTAGTCGACGCTTCAGTAAATGTACTTACCAACAACTAATAAACTACATTTTGGTGATCAAATCCTTTTTCATTTCTCATATGCTATACGCCACAACCACGATTCAACAAAATTACATCTGATTAGTTTAATTGTTTATTATTATTATTATTATTATTATTATTGTTCAGAAAATTTACCTCCATTATTATTAATCTATAACCTCGAGACTACCAATTTATAATCCTAAATAATATAATTATAATTAAAATCATAATTTATATAGTTTATGATTCCAATAACTTAACATGTATTCCTAATACCTTCAACTCGCGAGTAAAAGTTATTTTATTTTTCGCTCCATTTGCATACACCAATTAAATTCTCTTCATATCATAACTGCATTTTAAAATAAAACTTGCTAAAGCACTACAAACAATTTATCTGAATAAGAAGTTAACCATTAGATATAATAATTCGCGATATCTAACCTGCTTCTTTCTCACCTTATTTAAATACGCATATTGATAACTCCCTTTCGTAGCACTGCTCTCTACCAGCCCTGGCTATTGTCGGTGTAAGCAGGCAGGCCATAAACCAAAGAAAGCATAACCTTTTTTGTGTCTGAGTGGTCACAAGAGACGTTACAGTATACGGCTGCAGCCTACATCTCTTAGGGGCTATATGGAAATCACTCACCCATTTGTTACTCCACCTCGCACACAAACCAAGGCAGCCAAAAAAGGAAAGCAACCTCAGCAGCAACCATAGGACAACAGGGAAGAATCTCGAGCAGTCTCAACTCAATCGACCATCGTAAGAAACGGACAAGCCACCGCCATTGCCCCAAATCCCCTTAGTATAACCGCCTCGCAGACTGTTTTATATCACGTATTAAGCAAGCGAATCTCAGACTTAGAACAAATCCCTATGAAAACATCGGAATTTGTCTTTAAAAGAGGTGAGGTGTAACGTCCCAGCCCCAAAAATCTTTAATTTTTTGCGCCGCTGCGATACCAAGATACCGCATTGACCTGAGGCCGATTTGGGCTAACCTGAGAGATAGTATATAAAGTATTTTATTCCAGCGACAAATCTTACTATTTCAATCGTCAGAGACGGCTAAGAATAAAACCCAACATATTGGTAGTACTAATGAAGCGAAGCGATATTGGTAGTACTACATAAACGAAGTAGTTAGTGAAAATCATACATGACGAAGGAATTAGTAGATGAGCCGAATAATGTAAGAATATTCGCGAAGCGAACTCGCTTAGGCACGAGAAAACGCGCTTAGTATGACATCATCTCGATACTTAGCATCACGCCACCGCACATAACGTCATCCGGCCACCCGAGCGTATCATAAGATAAGCCGAGACGTGGAGGCATCCCTTTGAAACTAACCGACCCGAGACCACCGTGTCGCTGTGGAATTTGGCGCTGCGAGCCGACCGCCGTCGGAAAGCGCCGGGACCGAGCGAAGCTCCCATCGGAGCCCTATAAAAACAGTGCTCCCGGAGCGCTCCTCGGATTTGTTCGAGTATTTTTCAGTACACTCCGACTTACTTCTTCGAGCATTTGTTCGAGGATTTTTCGAGACCTACATCCAAGTATCTGTTCATGCAGCTGCGTGAACATTTGTTCGGGACAACTTCTGATTCTCCGACCCGTTGCCTTAGGCATTTGTTCGGATTTTCTACGACCGATCTGTGTGCGAACTGCAGCGTCAGTACGAGCGTGCCCAGGCGAGTTCAATTACGACTAGCGGATCCCTACAGTAAAGCGACCATAAGTCTATTATTAATTACACTTGTACACTCGAACATTTGACCGGTAGGATCCGAGCGACCACCTATCGTTAACATACTATTCTTGATTCAATTGTATTATTACTCTTCTAACGTCTCTTGTGACCACTCAGACACAAAAAAGGTTATGCTCTCTTTGGTTTTTGGCCTGCCTGCTTACACCGACAATAGGCAGGGTTGGTAGAGAGCAGTGCACCGAAAGGGAGTTATCAATATATGTATTTAAATAAAGTGAGAATGAGGCTGGTTAAATATCGCGAATTACTATATCTAATGGTTAACTTCTTATTTAGGTAAATTGTTTGTAGTGCTTTAACAAGTTATATTTTAGTAAAATGCAGTTATGATATGAAAAGAATCTAATTGGTGTATGCAAATGGAGCAAAAAAATAAAATAACTTTTACTCGCGAATCGAAGGTATTAAGATTATATGCTAAGTTATTGGAATCATAATTATTTAAAATATGAATTTAATTATAATTATATTATTTGGAATTATAAAATGGTAGTCTCGAAGTTACAAATTAATAATAATGGAGGTAAACCTTCTGAATAATAATAAAAAAAAATTTAAACTAATCAGATGTAATTTTGTTGAATCGTGATTGTGGCGTGGCATATGAGGAATGAAAAGAATTTGATCACCAAAATGTAGTTTATTAGTTGTTGGTAAGTACATTTACTAAAGCGTCGACTACGGCTTGCTCACTACTAGTTAATTCTTTATGTAAATTTAAATTCGAATTTGGAACCTCTTGATATATCGGCAACAATTCATTTTATTCTGGTTTCTCTTTAATAATGGGTAAGGTCGGCGTAACGGGTCTTGGTGGAAGTGGTCTCAATGACGCGCGAACATCTATGTAATAACTTCCCGAATTTATAACAAAATACCCTCTTTCTGTGGGATTTGAAGAACCGAGAGCTGCGGTACACTTCGTTCTGTAGTACGTGAGAACCACTTTCGCTCTTTCTACCACTTCTCTTCGGCATCTAATTTATTAACAAAATAAATTTCATGTTGTTGTGACTTGATCTC